ATTTCTTCTTCTTTTCAATCGAAGTTTAAAGTGTTACTTACATAGAAAATGTCCAATATGAAAGCCTCTACTAATTCGATTCAAAGTTTTGTCTTTTTTCTGGACAAGAACAAACATGAACCTCTGCTGCAAATAACCAACAATGAGCAAAGGAAGTCAGTGAAGCAGTGGGAGGAATTTTGTGACTCCAGCAACGACTGAGGTTAGGGCTTAGTGAAAGTACTGTGGTGGTAAAAGTATTTACACTCATGTAAAAGTCCTACATATAAAACAATGCAACCAAACGCTTCCTTGGTCTCCATGATGACATGACCTGGACAGCAGCAGGTAGAGTGGGATCACATTCCTCATAGTGAATTTTATGAAGGGGTATCGGCGTAATGGGGCACAGTAGGAATACAAACCACACTTTTCAGATTTTTCTTTGCTCCAAATGTAGTAAGCCATGTCTTAAATTCCACTCAACAATTATGATGATACATTGACAAAGCATTGAAAAGTTCTAGAGGTAATAATATTTTGAAAGTAACTGTATATCCATCGACTTTCTGCATTCATATTATCCACATCCAGAATCTGAAGATAGAAGATAATCATATAAAATACATTCATTAATAAGTAAATCATGAAAAATAATGAAATCATCCTTCACTGTAGATCTAGAGAGCACAGAGCTGTTTGCATCTTCCATCTTTCTTTGCTTTTCAGCAGTAATTTGGTTCAACTTTAGTGCAAACAAAGTCGTTCTGTCAAGTTGTGACCAAGTTGCTCCATGTTACCCATCAGGTTCCTGGATGCGTCCAGTTAAATTTAGCTTCCTGCTGGTATTTTGAACAGATGGTGGAATTTTTGTGTCCTTTAAAAGGAAAAGAATCAGAGTTCCTAAAGTCCCATCCTGGGGCATGAAAGCAGGATCAGTGTAAACAGTCTGGCTTTTGTTTCCAAGGTTTCCTTCCCCATTGAAATGACGTCAAATTAATGTGAGTCGGGAGCTGATAGGCTGGCAGTAGCACATTGATACTGACACTGATACTTTGCAAACTCTACAATCAAAAGTCTGCGTGTGTGTGTGTGTGTGTGTGTGTGTG